CAGGTGTAGGTTTGAGAGTTTGACCGCAGGCATCGCGCGCGTTTTCGCACATGCAAGGCACTCTGTGCTTGCATGATAGCGCTAGCTTGCGGGTGATGTCACATGGTGACGGTGTGCCTTCAACCAAACATCAAAGACCCCAAGAGCCAGCATAAGCCATAAGCTGACCTCTGCTCTTGGTTGAGAAGCGCTCGAAAAATGGGTTGTGGCTGCAAACTGTATTCGAACATGGCACTTACAGTAATTACATGCATCAAACTAGAACGAGGTGTTGCAGCCCGAGCGCATGTAATCTGAACACAAAACTGAGAAAGAAACTTGGGACGAAGCTCCCGGAGGAACAAAAATGCTACGCACATATTCAGGGCAGTTCAGGCTGACATCGACCTCCTCGGAAACTCAGGCTGCGTTTGGCTCCGCCCCTTTCATGCCATCATCCTGGATGTCTTGAGCCTTTTTCACATCCAGGTTGAGCAGGTCGGGCGCCTGCGAGAGAGCCTCTTCCTCCTCCTCCTCGTCAGGAAGGCTGTCCAAGAGCTGCAGCTCTTCGGCAGTGAACATGTATTTCAAGGCCTTGCGGATGATAGCCAAGGACGCCATGAAGAAGGGGAAGACCACAGAGGTCTCCTTGATGGCCTTGAGGCCGTACAGGATTGCCAGGCAAACCACCTGCACGAAGGTGTACAAGTGGACGCGCTTGATGGGCAGCTTCTGGATGTAGTTGTACTGCGGGTACTTGGAAGAGTCCCAAATCATCCAAAGGAAAAGGCGGTCGAAGAGGTTGTTGCCGGTCAAGGACGCGATTCCCATGTAGAAGAACACGCCCTGCAGCACGGCGCGAGGCAGAAACTTGAGCACCGGAGCCATGAAGAGCGCGCAGCCAATGAGCACATGGATCAAGAAGTTGGTGGCACGTTGCTCGACGACCTTGGAAGGCACCTTGGTCTCGCCCTGTGGGAGCTGCTTCACCTCGTAGGTGGTGAGCGAGATCACGTGGGTGATGCTGGGCACAGTTGAGGCCACAGACAGGGGCAGGCCCAGCACGGCGCAGGCCGGCAGCGTCAGCGCGCCGCGCACAAACAGGTCCAGGTGGTAGCCAGGCGCCTTCTTCAGCCCGTTCGATGGCCGGTTCACAATGATGCTCGTCAAGTTCTGGTCCAGGTAGCCCAGCACCGCAAAGCCAATGGAGGGGATGATGGCATAGGCAATGCCCCAGGCAGGAAATTGCCGATCAATGCCTGCAGGGTTCACGATCCAAGGCCTCTTGCTGCCGTCTGACAGGCTCAAGGCAGGGGCGAACTCGGCGTCCACGGTCAGCATCCGCAGCGACGTGTCGCTGGCGTAGAGGGCGGCAAGCGCGGACGCAGTGACCAGCGCGATTGTCACAGCGAAGTTGGCCATCAGGGTGCGGATGGGCCGGAGCAACCATGGTGTGCGCCGGAAATGGGACAGGTAGGTGGCAAGTCCGAATGTGTAGCCAAACAGCAAGGCCTCGAACATGGCGTTGGTCAAGGTCATCTCTTTGTCAGTGAAGTTTCGGATCATGGGCGACACGCCGTCAATGATGAAGATCAGGCTGATCAGGCCAGCAAAGATGTCCTCGCTGAACATGGTCACGTGCTTCATCAGGGCACACAAGTCAAAGATGGCCACAAGGATGGTGAACAACGAACACCACATGCAGACCCAGAAGTAGAAAGGCATGAACTCCAAATCCATCGCCTCTGCCATCTCAAAAACCACCAGCGTGTACGCCAAGAAAGGGCCAGTAGCACCTAGGATGGACAGAGGCTGCCCTGCGAAGCTAGAAAACAAAACGCCGCTGATGGCGGACGACATGATCATCTCCAAAACTCCAAACTGGCCTTTGGTGCCGTCCAAAAACCTGCTCCCGAAGGTGATGGCAGGGGCCAGCGCTGCGATGAACAGATAAAGAATGGAGGACACGGACTTCTGGAAGTTCTCAGCCTTAAAGGCGTCCGTCCAGTCGCTGATGTACAGGGGTGCCCGCCTGCGCAAGTCAAGCCTCAGCCCGCCCCCAATCTTGCCCGTGAACTCCAAAGGACCGAAGTCCTTCTTGGCTGTGTGGGTGATGTAGCCGGACTCGTTTCGGATGACTGCTTCAGCCTCTGTCATAGCTCTGATCCAAATAAGTGCGACGGTTTTGTTTCTGCGTCTGGCGTCCTTGAGCCTCTGCGTTGATTAGGTGCACCGGATGAACAACTTCTCAAGTTGGGTGTCAAGGCCACGAGCACCGAAAGCGAGCGGACTCAACAAGCAAGATCGCAAGTCGGGGCCTGCGGTGGCAGCTCCTCGCTTGGCCGCTGCCTGAACTGGTTCAAAAAAGGGATCCCGGTGCCGCCGGTGCTCTCAAAAGAATGCCAAAAAAGGATCCTCCTTGTGAACCTCAAATGAGAACGTGCATAACATGAAGGTCCACCCCCGATGTGAACATGAAAAGAGCCTCTGCAGATGGGGAACTCAGGCCGGGCGGCCAGACTGAAACACTGTTACCCTTACACCGACACACGAAACACAACTTTAATCCTCACAACAAAACCTGCTTTGCGACAGTCCAAGGGCGGCACATGTCGCCCCAGGCCGCTGCGCGTACGCAGCTTGTGCACACCCCGCCGAAGTGAGTTGACATGTTGTTTGCTTGACCTCGCAACGCATCTGCAAGAGAAGTGGTGTAGCGTGCGCCGCGTTGCGCTCTTCAAGCAGAACTGAAATGCAAAAGGCACCCTGTCCAATGCCCAAAAGTCGTTGCCACTTTTTGTCGGTACCACTGAATCCGTCGCTGTCCCTCTCAACCCTTTTTCTCCCGGCTTGGACCCTCGTGACCCTCGGACTTTCGGATTCTCGGACCCGGAAGGTGCTCGCGTTGTATATCCTGACTGGCCTGTCTGGCATTTCGGTGGGCAAGGATCCAAAGCTTCATGCTGGGATGCATCTCAAACAGAGCCCACTCCGCAGCGAGAAAACCCAAAGCTGCCGACGTTCATTTGTCATAAACCCCTCCGCCAATGCAGTTTTAGAGAGAGACAAGAGCTTCGAGGCGACCAAGAGGTGACGCTTTTAAACCACGCCAAGCAGAAAATGGAAAATGGGGGACCCTGTTGAAAGGCCAAAGGTCTGCCGCCCCCGCCCCCACCTGGCCCGTCCATGCACTGCTCAACTGCGCCTCGCTCGGAGACCGACCCGTGCCGTCACGCTGCCGAAAAAAAGATGCGGGGTGGGGTTGCTGGTGATTGGTGTGGAGTTTGGGGTTGAGTTGGAACCTCGGAAAAATGGTCTTTAAAGGATTGCTTCAGTGGGTTTCTGTGCTCTGCGCGCGCATCTGTTTGGCTCCATCATTTGCCGCAAGCTAGTGAAACGAAGGAGTTCCACGCTCGTACATTGCAGCAGGATCTCAAAATGGTGGCAAAGTGTATTCAAGCTAGTCCTGTCAAGATCGCAACTCTGCAAACCAGTTGGCCAGCAACGGAAAGCATGCTCTTCTCGATTGCTTTGCAATTTGCAAGGCCCTGCGCTTTCTGAGTCTTCTCTGGGTCACATAAAACTCGTCGGCTCAGAGCTTCTCGATTGAAACATCTTCCATTGCTCATCAACCCAGGGGCAAAGGCACAGTGGTCCAGATATGAAATTCTTCTTTTCCAGAACCCTTCATCCAAGAGATGTCATGAAAACGAACCTGGAGGATGTGCCCAAATAGTCGCTGATGCAAAATGCAAACAGCAACTAAGTAGTGTGTGTATATATATATATATGTATGTATGCATGCACGTACGTCTGTATGTATGCATGCATGCATGCATGCATGCATGCATGCATGTATCTATATATATATATATGTATGTATATGTATATGTATATATATATATGTGTGTGTGTGTGTCGGGGAGACTCGCCCAATTTCCCACGTCAGCAGCAATCATGACGCACGTTCCGACCAGCTTGCGGGGACATTGCAAGTCATCTAGGGTCCCGTGTCCCTTCTGGAGAAAGGCTGCCAGACTACCATACCCTTCCAGGACTCCAGGTAGCTCCTTAGCCTTACTCCCAGCTCCTTGGCTCCCTTCCAACCACCGAGCAGAAAGGACCCCAGCCTTGCAAAGAGGAACGCCTTCTTCGGCGTTGGCGTCGAGCCCGATCAAATTCTAACAATCTTTGGGCTTCCGGCGGCGCACCAGCTCCAGGCCAGGCCGATCCAGCTCCTGAGTTGCAACGGGATCCGGGCAAAAGAAACCCCCGGGGCGCCCCCGCGTTTTGGGGGAACCGATCTATGATATGGCACTCCAGTTGTTGCACGAGTCGCCATGCGCTTCCATCGTCTCGTGAAGGCATCAACTGGGGTCAAAACCCTGAGGTTCACCAAAGAGTCTATTTTCACCTGTTTCTTGTCTTGCTTGCAGCGAACTCAGCTCGCAAGACATCGCCTTGTCAACTTCAGGGAGTCGGCGGGAATTCTCGGGAAGTAAGTCTGCACAAGTGAACGTTAACGAAAGATGCAAGCAAGAAGGCCAAAGGAAATCGTTTTTGCACATCCAAACATGACAACACGCGTCCAAGGATGGCAAACAACCAATCTTGATTTGGCACCAGAATTGGGCGATTCAAACCCGTGCTTACACATGTTTAGGGGGACCATGGGTTGTTTAACTAGTTCTGCCCAAGCCTGGCTGGAGGACTTGTTCAAATTTGGACGTTTCCCGTGTTTTCATGACTGAGCCTGCGCGACACGCCAGCAGCTCAGCTAGAGGGTCTCTGCCCAGACAAGCTATGGCGTGGTCCGAGCAGCTCCGGGAAGGTTCCGGAGGGTTCCGGGTTCCGAGAGTTGCTGCATCGGTTCCGGGCGGTGCCGGCGGTTTTGAGTGGCTCCGAGTGTTGCGCAAAGGTCCGAAGGTTTCGCAGGGGGTTCAGGGCGTGGAGCAAGGGTTCCGGAGAATTGCCGGGGATACCATCTGGGCTGATTTCTGTAACTTCCCCGCAGTGTTCGTTTAATTGTACGGTCCCTGGCACGCCTTCACCAGCGCCAGCACGGCGCAAAGGATGCTGTCCCCGAGCGCCCGGGCATCTGGAATGCGTCCTTGGCCATGAAACTGCCATTTCCCCCCAGTTAAGGTCCCCTTGAACATCATCCCACGAGCAAACTCATCTGACACGGGCCCAAAAGGTGATATTAAAACAACAAGCGGAATATTGGGACCAGTCTTGGCTTCGACCATGGATGAGATGAGGACCCCGATAGGTTGACGGTTTCAAACATTTCAACGCGTTGAAACTTGAAGCTTGAATCTGCTGTGTTGAGACGCTTGCCACATCTCGAAAGATTGGAACTCCGAAACAAAGTAAAGGCTGTACAGACCTCTGCCAAATTTGAAGGTGACAAAATTGGCCATGCCCCATGTCTGTCATGCTGCCCAAATCGGCAAAGAAGTCTGCAATGGGAAACATCCACGCTACGCATCCCAAGCTTGTCTCAGGCGTATCGGGACGAAGTCTGCCAGGCACTTCTGTGCAAAGAAACAGGGAGTCCGGCAACCCTGGAATGCGCACATTGCCAACGTCGCCTAGGCTCTCCCCCACGCGCCAGCCGCTTGGGGTAAGGCGCGCCTTGATTTTTTGAGCTGCACAGGTGTAGGTTTGAGAGTTTGACCGCAGGCATCGCGCGCGTTTTCGCACATGCAAGGCACTCTGTGCTTGCATGATAGCGCTAGCTTGCGGGTGATGTCACATGGTGACGGTGTGCCTTCAACCAAACATCAAAGACCCCAAGAGCCAGCATAAGCCATAAGCTGACCTCTGCTCTTGGTTGAGAAGCGCTCGAAAAATGGGTTGTGGCTGCAAACGGTTTCGAACATGGCACTTACAGTAATTACATGCATCAAACTAGAACGAGGTGTTGCAGCCCGAGCGCATGTAATATGAACACAAAACTGAGAAAGAAACTTGGGACGAAGCTCCGTCGAAGGAACAAAAATGGTTGCGCCAATATTCGGGCAGTTCAGGCTAGACATCGGACTACTCGCGAAACTCAGGCTGCGTTTGGCTCCGCCCCTTTCATGCCATCATCCTGGATGTCTTGGGCCTTTTTCACATCCAGGTTGAGCAGGTCGGGCGCCTGCGAGAGAGCCTCTTCCTCCTCCTCCTCCTCGTCAGGAAGGCTGTCCAAGAGCTGCAGCTCTTCGGCAGTGAACATGTATTTCAAGGCCTTGCGGATGATAGCCAAGGACGCCATGAAGAAGGGGAAGACCACAGAGGTCTCCTTGATGGCCTTGAGGCCGTACAGGATTGCCAGGCAAACCACCTGCACGAAGGTGTACAAGTGGACGCGCTTGATGGGCAGCTTCTGGATGTAGTTGTACTGCGGGTACTTGGAAGAGTCCCAAATCATCCAAAGGAAAAGGCGGTCGAAGAGGTTATTGCCGGTCAAGGACGCGATTCCCATGTAGAAGAACACGCCCTGCAGCACGGCGCGAGGCAGAAACTTGAGCACCGGAGCCATGAAGAGCGCGCAGCCAATGAGCACATGGATCAAGAAGTTGGTGGCACGTTGCTCGACGACCTTGGAAGGCACCTTGGTCTCGCCCTGTGGGAGCTGCTTCACCTCGTAGGTGGTGAGCGAGATCACGTGGGTGATGCTGGGCACAGTTGAGGCCACAGACAGGGGCAGGCCCAGCACGGCGCAGGCCGGCAGCGTCAGGGCGCCGCGCACAAACAGGTCCAGGTGGTAGCCAGGCGCCTTCTTCAGCCCGTTCGATGGCCGGTTCACAATGATGCTCGTCAAGTTCTGGTCCAGGTAGCCCAGCACCGCAAAGCCAATGGAGGGGATGATGGCATAGGCAATGCCCCAGGCAGGAAATTGCCGATCAATGCCTGCAGGGTTCACGATCCAAGGCCTCTTGCTGCCGTCTGACAGGCTCAAGGCAGGGGCGAACTCGGCGTCCACGGTCAGCATCCGCAGCGACGTGTCGCTGGAGTAGAGGGCGGCAAGCGCGGATGCAGTGACCAGCGCGATTGTCACAGCGAAGTTGGCCATCAGGGTGCGGATGGGCCGGAGCAACCATGGTGTGCGCCGGAAATGGGACAGGTAGGTGGCAAGTCCGAATGTGTAGCCAAACAGCAAGGCCTCGAACATGGCGTTGGTCAAGGTCATCTCTTTGTCAGTGAAGTTTCGGATCATGGGCGACACGCCGTCAATGATGAAGATCAGGCTGATCAGGCCAGCAAAGATGTCCTCGCTGAACATGGTCACGTGCTTCATCAGGGCACACAAGTCAAAGATGGCCACAAGGATGGTGAACAACGAACACCACATGCAGACCCAGAAGTAGAAAGGCATGAACTCCAAATCCATCGCCTCTGCCATCTCAAAAACCACCAGCGTGTACGCCAAGAGGGCCAGTAGCACCTAGGATGGACAGAGGCTGCCCTGCGAAGCTAGAAAACAAAATGCCGCTGATGGCGGACGACATGATCATCTCCAAAACTCCAAACTGGCCCTTGGTGCCGTCCAAAAACCGGCTCCCGAAGGTGATGGCAGGGGCCAGCGCTGCGATGAACAGGTAAAGAATGGAGGACACGGACTTCTGGAAGTTCTCAGCCTTAAAGGCGTCCGTCCAGTCGCTGATGTACAGGGGCGCCCGCCTTCGCAAGTCAAGCCTCAGCCCGCCCCCAATCTTGCCCGTGAACTCCAAAGGACCGAAGTCCTTCTTGGCTGTGTGGGTGATGTAGCCCGACTCGTTGCGGATGACTGCTTCAGCCTCTGTCATAGCTCTGATCCAAGTAAGTGCGACGGTTTTGTTTCTGCGTCTGGCGTCCTTGAGCCTCTGCGTGGATTAGGTGCACCGGATGAATAACTTCTCAAGTTGGGTGTCAAGGCCACGAGCACCGAAAGCGAGCGGACTCAACAAGCAAGATCGCAAGTCGGGGCCTGCGGTGGCAGCTCCTCGCTTGGCCGCTGCCTGAACTGGTTCAAAAAAGGGATCCCGGTGCCGCCGGTGCTCTCAAAAGAATGCCAAAAAAGGATCCTCCTTGTGAACCTCACATGAGAACGTGCATAACATGAAGGTCCACCCCCGATGTGAACATGAAAAGAGCCTCTGCAGATGGGGAACTCAGGCCGGGCGGCCAGACTGAAACACTGTTACCCTTACACCGACACACGAAACACAACTTTAATCCTCACAACAAAACCTGCTTTGCGACAGTCCAAGGGCGGCACATGTCGCCCCAGGCCGCTGCGTGTACGCAGCTTGTGCACACCCCGCCGAAGTGAGTTGACATGTTGTTTGCTTGACCTCGCAAAGCATCTGCAAGAGAAGTGGTGTAGCGTGCGCCGCGTTGCGCTCTTCAAGCAGAAATGAGATGCAAAACACCCGCCACTTTTTGTCGGTACCACTGAATCCGTCGCTGTCCCTCTCGACCCTTTTTCTCCCGGCTTGGACCCTCGGACCCTCGGACTTTCGGATTCTCGGACCCGGAAGGTGCTCGCGTTGTATATCCTGACTGGCCTGTCTGGCGTTTCCGTGGGCAAGGTTCCAAAGCTTCATGCTGGGATGCCGCAGCGAGAAAACCCAAAGCTGCCGACTTTCGTTTGTCGTAAACCCCTCCGGCCGGCCAATGCAGTTTTCGAGAGGGACAAGAGCTTCGAGGCAACCAAGAGGTGACACTTTTAAACCACGCCAAGCAGAAAATTGAAAATGGGGGACTCTGTTGAAAGGCCAAAGGTCTGCCGCCCCCGCCCCCACCTGGCCCCGCCTCAAGAGTCCATGCGCTGCTCAACCGCGCCTCGCTCGGAGACCGATCGTGCAGTCACGCTGCCGAAAAAAGATGCGGGGTGGGGTTGCTGGTGATTGGTGTGGAGTTTGGGGTTGAGTTGGAACCTCGGGAAAATGGTCTTTAAAGGATTGCTTCAGTGGGTTTGTGTGCTCTGCGCGCGCATCTGTTTGGCTCCATCATTTGCCGCAAGCTAGTGAAACGAAGGAGTTCCACGCTCGTACATTGCAGCAGGATCTCAAAATGGTGGCAAAGTGTATTCAAGCTAGTCCTGTCAAGATCGCAACTCTGCAAACCAGTTGGCCAGCAACGGAAAGCATGCTCTTCTCGATTGCTTTGCAATTTGCAAGGCCCTGCGCTTTCTGAGTCTTCTCTGGGTCACATAAAACTCGTCGGCTCAGAGCTTCTCGATTGAAACATCTTCCATTGCTCATCAACCCAGGGGCAAAGGCACAGTGGTCCAGATATGAAATTCTTCTTTTCCAGAACCCTTCATCCAAGAGATGTCATGAAAACGAACCTGGAGGATGTGCCCAAATAGTCGCTGATGCAAAATGCAAACAGCAACTAAGTAGTGTGTGTGTATATATATATATATATATGTATGCATGCACGTACGTCTGTATGTATGCATGCATGCATGCATGCATGCATGCATGCATGTATCTATATATATATATATATGTATGTATGTATGTATATGTATATGTATGTATATATATATATATATGTGTGTGTGTGTGTGTCGGGGAGACTCGCCCAATTTCCCACGTCAGCAGCAATCATGACGCACGTTCCGACCAGCTTGCGGGGACATTGCAATCCCGTGTCCCTTCTGGAGAAAGGCTGCCAGACAACCATACCCTTCCAGGACTCCTGGTAGCTCCTTAGCCTTACTCCCTCTTGGACAGCAGCTCCTTGGCTCCCTTCCAACCACCGAGCAGAAAGGACCCCAGCCTTGCAAAGAGGAACGCCTTCTTCGGCGTTGGCGTCGAGCCCGATCAACTTCTAACTCTCTGGGCTTCCGGCGGCGCACCAGCTCCAGGCCAGGCCGGTCCAGCTCCTGAGTTGCCACGGGATCCGGGCAAAAGAAATTTTCGGGGGCGCCCCCGCGTTTTGGGGGAACCGATCTATGATATGGCACTCCAGTTATTGCACGAGTCGCCATGCGCTTCCATCGTTTTGTGAAGGCATCAACTGGGGTCAAAACCCTGAGGTTCTCTAAAGAGTCTATTTTCACCTGTTTCTTGTCTTGCTTGCAGCGAACTCAGCTCGCAAGACATCGCCTTGTCAACTTCAGGGAGTCGGCGGGAATTCTCGGGAAGTAAGTCTGCACAAATGAACGTTAACGAAAGATGCAAGCAAGAAGGCCAAAGGAAATCGTTTTTGCAAATCCAAACATGACAACACTCGTCCAAGGATGGCAAACAACCAATCTTGATTGGGCACCAGGGTTGGGCGATTCAAACCCGTGCTTACACATGTTTAAGGGGGACCATGGGTGATTTCAATAGTTCTGCCCAAGCCTGGCTGGTACCTTTCTTGCTTCTTTCGCTTGCGGCGACGATAGCGGCGTGGAGGACTGGTTCAAATTTGGACGTTTCCCGTGTTTTCATGACTGAGCCTGCGCAACACTCCTTCGAATGGACTCAAGGGGGCGGGGGGGTGGCGGGGGTACTAGCGCTCCTCCTGCGCACCCGCTGCACAGTCATCTCTTCACCAGTAGAAGGTCAAAAGCAAGCATGCTCCGCAGTCGCCCTTTCTTGTTACGTTGCTCACGCTAGCGCAGCATTGCTTCTTTGTCCCTCAACTCAACTCGTTCTTGTTTCGCCCGTGATATGGTGTCATCATGTACGAACTAGGATTGTATGTTTCGCGGCGCTGTCATGACTTCTTCCTTTGCGCGCCCAGCTCGCAGAGAGACTGCGCTCTAGGCTCGGCCAGTAGCAGGCCGTGTTCGGAACCCATCGCAAGTAGCCCGACCGCACTCCGCATTCGCCCTGACTTGTCGCGTTGATCACGCCGGCAAACCAATGCTGCATGTGAAGAAAAAAAACGTGCCGTGCCGCGTCGCTAACGTCGCCATAGCCTTATCTTCAAGGGAAGCCAAAGGAAAGCTGGCCATGTCTTCTCTTTTCCCCAGCAGCTCAGCTAGAGGGTCTCTGCTCAGACAAGCTATGGCGTGGTCCGAGCAGCTCCGGGAAGGTTCCGGAGGGTTCCGGGTTCCGAGAGTTGCTGCATCGGTTCCGGGCGGTGCCGGCGGTTTTGAGTGGCTCGGAGTGTTGCGCAAAGTTCCGAAGGTTTCGCAGGGGGTTCAGGGCGTGGAGCAAGGGTTCCGGAGATTTGCTGGGGATACCACCTGGGCTGATTTCTATAACTTTTTCGCAGTGTTCATTTAATTGTACGGTCCCCTGGCACGCCTTCACCAGCGCCAGCACGGCGCAAAGGATGTTGTCCCCCGAGCGCCCGGGCATCTGGAATGCGTTCTTGGCCATGAAACTGCCATTTCCCCCCAGTTAAGGTTCCCTTGAACATCATCCCACGAGCAAACTCATCTGACACGGGCCCAAAAGGTGATATTAAAACAGCAAGCGGAATATTGGGACCAGTCTTGGCTTCGACCATGGATGAGATGAGACGGTTTCAAAAATTTTCAACGCGTTGAAACTTGAAGCTTGAATCTGCTGTGTTGAGACGCTTGCCACATCTAGAAAGATTGGAACTCCGAAACATGGATATATCCATGATCGTCCGGAATGCACGGTGACTCAAGAAATCGCAAGGAACCAGGCCGCAAACGAAATCGCACACTTGAAAGAGATCTTTACAAATCACCACTCTCTGCCCCAGTTCCAACAAAGTAAAAGCTGTACAGACCTCTGCCAAATTTGAAGGTGACAAAATTGGAAATGCCCCATGTCTGTCATGCTGCCCAAAACGGCAAAGAAGTCCCCAATGGGAACATCCTCGCTAGGCATTTCAAGCGTGTCTCAGGCATATCGGGACGAAATCTGCCAGGCACTTCTGTGCAAAGAAACAGGGAGTCCTGCAACCCTGGAATGCGCACATTGCCAACGTCGCCAGCCGCTTGGGTAAGGCGCGCCTTGATTTTTTGAGCTGCACAGGTGTAGGTTTGAGAGTTTGACCGCAGGCATCGCGCGCGTTTTCGCACATGCAAGGCACTCTGTGCTTGCATGATAGCGCTAGCTTGCGGGTGATGTCACATGGTGACGGTGTGCCTTCAACCAAACATCAAAGACCCCAAGAGCCAGCATAAGCCATAAGCTGACCTCTGCTCTTGGTTGAGAAGCGCTCGAAAAATGGGTTGTGGCTGCAAACTGTATTCGAACATGGCACTTACAGTAATTACATGCATCAAACTAGAACGAGGTGTTGCAGCCCGAGCGCATGTAATCTGAACACAAAACTGAGAAAGAAACTTGGGACGAAGCTCCCGAAGGAACAAAAATGCTACGCAAATATTCAGGGCAGTTCAGGCTGACATCGACCTCCTCTGAAACTCAGGCTGCGTTTGGCTCCGCCCCTTTCATGCCATCATCCTGGATGTCTTGGGCCTTTTTCACATCCAGGTTGAGCAGGTCGGGCGCCTGCGAGAGAGCCTCTTCCTCCTCCTCCTCGTCAGGAAGGCTGTCCAAGAGCTGCAGCTCTTCGGCAGTGAACATGTATTTCAAGGCCTTGCGGATGATAGCCAAGGATGCCATGAAGAAGGGGAAGACCACAGAGGTCTCCTTGATGGCCTTGAGGCCGTACAGGATTGCCAGGCAAACCACCTGCACGAAGGTGTACAAGTGGACGCGCTTGATGGGCAGCTTCTGGATGTAGTTGTACTGCGGGTACTTGGAAGAGTCCCAAATCATCCAAAGGAAAAGGCGGTCGAAGAGGTTGTTGCCGGTCAAGGACGCGATTCCCATGTAGAAGAACACGCCCTGCAGCACGGCGCGAGGCAGAAACTTGAGCACCGGAGCCATGAAGAGCGCGCAGCCAATGAGCACATGGATCAAGAAGTTGGTGGCACGTTGCTCGACGACCTTGGAAGGCACCTTGGTCTCGCCCTGTGGGAGCTGCTTCACCTCGTAGGTGGTGAGCGAGATCACGTGGGTGATGCTGGGCACAGTTGAGGCCACAGACAGGGGCAGGCCCAGCACGGCGCAGGCCGGCAGCGTCAGCGCGCCGCGCACAAACAGGTCCAGGTGGTAGCCAGGCTTGACACGTTTGAGGAGACGCAGGGTGCAGCCAAAAGGCTCCCTAGCGGCTCCACGCGCCATCCAGCTCAGGCGTCAGACGCCCACCACCCACGAGCGATAGAAGCGGCTCCGGCAACCGCGTTGACGGCCTTGACCTCCCATTGCGTGGCAGCAAGCTTAGCTCGCGCCCACTCCTGACGAGCAGACCCACGGAGTAGCAATCGCGCCTTCCAGCGCGCCGCCTCATCGGCGTCCTCATTGAGTCCACGAAGCATGGCCTCCGAGGCGACCGGGTGCGGCGCCCATTCACCGCTAACCTTGCCGTGCGATGGGACCCAAAAGAGCTCGACCGACAGGGTCAGAGCACAAAGCCGTTGGAAAGCATCAAAGGCGCGTCGCGCCAGTAGCTTGCAAGAACCACCACCTTTCAAAGTTTTGATGGCAGCTTGGCAGTCGAGGACAAACACAAAAGAGACACGTGAAGCGGCTCCTGCACATAGTCGAGCAGCGTCAGCAGCAGCCTGAAGGGCGAGGACGCCAGCTTCAACCTCAGCCCGGTAAGCGGTCTGATCTTCACCAGTGACAGCTGAAACAAAAGTTGGGCATCCCGGGGTCGCAATGGCAAAAGCAGCGACCTCATCAATCTCGGAACCATCTGTGGCAACGAAGAAGTGGGAAGGCTGTTCCTCAAGTCTTGTGCGAAAGGCATGGACAAGCTGCTCAAAGGCCAGAGGACGGGGGTCCCTTGGCGCAGCAGGTTGTTCAGGGAGGACCTTGGTAAAGAGACGCTCCTCTGCTCGGTTACTGGGGAGAGGAACTCCTTCTCTTGCTGAAGCAGTCGCCGGACATGTCCACACCAAGTGGGGCCGAGAAGGCGTGTGCTTGCCACATGCGCACTGACGGGCTGCGTCACCATGGGGTTGCCTCCGAAAACCGGGATGGAAGTGCCACCAGCTGCATCCCGTAGCCAAGCACGCAAGGAACAAATCCCTTTTGTCCGTCGCCTGCTTGAAACACTGTCTGTGGCCTTGGTAACAAGGAACTCCGGGAGCAGGAGGAGGCAGTGTCAAACCTTGAGCCAGTGGCTGATCTGCATTTGCCTGGCGTCGAAAGCCACGAAACACCCTGGCCGACGCCTTCAAAGAGTCGCGCCGGCTCCTTTCTTTAAGCCACCGAAGAACACAAGCAAAGTTGTCAACCCCAAGCTCGAAGGTGCGCTGCTGCCCATGCTGATCCCGCCTATGAAGGAGAGCTCCATCAGGCGATGCCCACCATCCAAGGTCATTGGCTGCGGCCGCAGCGCAAGGGAGTTGCTGAAACCACTTTCCAAAGACAAAGTCAAGAGGTGCATCTTCCCAGCACTGTTTCAACGAGCTGCGGTGCCTAACTGCAGCTCGGAAATGGGCTGCAGCTGAGGCGAAGAGAGGCTCGACTTCCCACCCAAGGAGCTCAAAAAGGATGCCCCAAGGCACGTCTGGCGGCAAAGTGGCGCCAAAGGAACTCACAACTGCACTGCGTATACTCTTCAAAACATCCGGTGTCAATGCTGCCAAGCCAGCAGCCCAAGTGAAGGTTGGGTTCACGAGGCATCGCAGCAAGCGTAAGCGGGCCTTCCATGAAGCAGCCACGCGGGCAATGGCAGTTATGCGGAAAAGCACGAGCTGCATGTCAAACTTCACCAGCTGTGTGGCCATCGGTTCATGAAGGTCAAACTGTAACCCAAGAAAGGTGAGTTTGTGGTCGAAGGCGTAAGGGAGGTTGCTTAGCCCAAAATTTTGGGCAACATCCGAGCTCAAAGCTGCAATCCCGCACTTCTCGGGTCGGCACCTAAGCCCAAACACACTGTCAAATTCCTCCGATTTCCGCATTGCCAGCTGCAAAAGGGGGGCTTGGGAAACATTCTGGGCCCACAAAACCCGATCGTCAACGAAAACGGCACAGCCGAGGCCGGGCTGCTGGACTGCGCAAGTCCACGGCAACATCACCGCTGCCGCGATCATAGGCGAAAGAGGGCATCCTTGCAAAATGCCCCGCCCTGCTTTGCACCATTGTGAGCCATGATAGGCGCCCGAAGTAAAGACCCGGGATCCACGCAAATAAAACTGGTCAATAAGGCGAACGAGCGCAGGAGGGGCCTTCAAGTGCGAGAGGACCGCTATTGCCTGCTGCACCTGGATCGCATCAAAAAAACGATGGATATCCTGGCGCACAAACACGCCATGCTTAGCTCGCTGCGCGACCGCATGGTTGATGCGGATGAGGCAATCTTCGACGCCTCTACCAGCCAAACCGCCAAACAGGTGATCGCCCGCCCAACTGCTCAACCACGGCTTCAGGGTCTGCAAAAGCGCTCGCGAGCCAGCGCGCCACAATACCGATGTCAAAGCAAGTGGCCGCCAGCCCCCTGCGTCTTTGGGAATGAGCACTATCTTGGCCTCAACCCATCGGCGGGGAATGCATCCGGAAGAAATCACATGGGCCCACAAATCTTCAAGGCATGACCACCAAATCGGTCCCATTCTCAAAAGATCTTTGGCGCGCCAGTCATCAGGGCCAGGGGCCTTGCGCGTCATAGCCTGCATGGCTTGCAGCAGGTCAGAGCCCTTTGCTGAGAAGGCAACAGCCTCATTAACGTTGTTTGGGACGTTGCGAAGAAAACTTTGGAATTCCTCGCCTGTGCCACGTCCAGATTCCTGGCCCCAAACCGCTGTCCACTCTCGCTGCTGCTCATCAACTGCTATGGAAGGGTGGACGGCTGAAGCGCTAACACCCTTAGAAGATGGCGCAGGGCGCGCCGCACGACTCTCCTGAGCACGGGTCAAGGCAAACCGCTTGACCCATGCACGCTGCTGGCCTTCATCTGCAGCCATCCGGGCCTTCCAAGCCTTTAGGCGCTGAGAAAAAAGTTGCCGCTCACATTGAGTGACTGCCGCTGCCACCACATCAACGAGGTCTTCCAATCAGTCTTCCTCAGCTCTGCTGCGCGCATTCAGCCCAGCCGGAGCTGGCTCGACCTCAGCTCTGTTTGGGGGCTCCATCCCAGCTGGAGCTAGCACAGCCTCTGCTCTGCTTTGGGCTCCCAGCCCAGCCGGAGCAGGCTCGGCCTCTGCTCTGCTTCGGGGCACAGCCCCAGCCGGAACTGGAACGGCCTCAGCACCACTTGCAGCCGGAAACGGCGCAGCCTTTGTCCTACTTCGGGAAGCCGAACCCGACGTAGGCGCGGCCTCAGCTCTGCTTCGGGCATGTCGCCCAGCCGGAGTTGGCTCGGCCTCAGCTCTGTTGGGGGTTTCAACCCCAGCCGGAGCTGGCACAGCCTCTGCTCTGCATTGGGCCCCCAGCCCAGCCGGAGCAGGCTCGGCCTCAGCTCTGCTTCGGGGCACAGCCCCAGCCGGAACTGGAACGGCCTCAGCTCCGCTTGGGGCAAGCGCCCCAGCCGGAACTGGCGCAGCCTTTGCCTTGCTTCGGGATGCCAATCCCGACGCAGGCGCGGCCTCAGCTCTGCTTCGGGCATGTCGCCCAGCCGGAGCTGGCTCGGCCTCAGCTCTGTTAGGGGTTTCAAACCCCGCCGGAGCTGGCACGGCCTCAGCTCTGCTTCGGGCCCCAGGCCCAGCCGGAGCTGGCTCGGCCTCAGCTCCGCTTGGGGCACACGCCCCAGCCGGAGCTGGCGCAGCCTTTGCCTTGCTTCGGGATTCCAATCCCGACGCAGGCGCGGCCTCAGCTCTGCTTCGGGCATGTCGCCCAGCCGGAGCTGGCTCGGCCTCAGCTCTGTTAGGGGTTTCAACCCCCGCCAGAGCTGGCACGGCCTCAGCTCTGCTTCGGGCCCCAGGCCCAGCCGGAGCTGGCTCGGCCTCAGCTCTGTTTGGGGCCAAAGCCCCAGCCGGAGCTGGCACGGCCTCAGCTCTGCCAGGGGCCTCCTCGACCCCAGCTGGCACAGCCTCAGCTCTGCTTCGGGGCATCCCCCCAGCCGGAGCTGGCTCAGCCTCAGAAACTGGTCCATGACATCTGTACAAATCTTGCAGCTCATCCTGAAAGCACCGAAAATCACGGGCAGCCTTTGCACGAAGATTGCTATCCCAGGGTTGTCTACGAAGCTGAAGGAGGCGTCTGTGAAGACGCCTAAGACGAACCAACCGCACCGGCTCTGGTCCAGCAGACGCCTTGGAGTGCCGTGACGAAAAACGGGGCTTCCAGGAAGCGGAGCGCGGCGTGAAGCCAAAATGCTTCTCATCACAGAGGGCGTCCTCCGCAAAATCAGAGAGGAGCGACCACGCATTGTCCACATCTTCTTGCGACAATGCAATTTTAACCAATTGACACAAAGTTTCACTGCAGTCAAACTTCTCAACGCCATCTGCAGCAGAGATCAGACGGCGCTTCGGCCCAAACCGGCCGTGCGAAATTGTCTTGAACTCGAAGTCGTAGGCAACGAGATCATGATCCGTAATCCCAAAATCAATGTCCTGCGATTGGACACGCTGTACTGGAACAAGAGAACGGTGTGAAAGGCCAAAATCGATGCGCTTGTGGCCATCGGCTCGGGTGGATTCAGGGAGCAAAGCAAAGGCATCATCCACACAATGAGCTCTTCCAGCGGAAATGTAAGGGGAGAAACATTGGTCATCCGCCTCCTGATTCCAGTCACCCAGGGTCAACCACAGGAAACCAGAACCCGTCACAAAGTCAAGCACCTCTGTACAAAGTCTTGATCTTGCTGTGCCATCGGAAGCATGGCAATAAACTGAAGCTAAAAAGATCTTTTGGTACACCCAGTCCGGGCCACTGCACTCCTGGACCTCCACCACGCCAGCAGCCACACGGTCCGGCCAGGAAGTCTCCAGAAACACAGGTGAAATTGGTAAGGTAGACAACAAGGCGGTCTTGGTGACCCCACCTTCCCCAACGCCTCCAAACACCACAAAGAAGCCTTTCTGCAAACACGAAGTGCGGAAACGAGCACGGGTGGCTTCGTTGATATCCACCTCCTGCAAGGCGGCAACCTGGATGTTGTAGGAAGAAAAGATGTCAAAGACAACAGGCAGCTTGCCCGCGATCGCCGGGACGTTGAAAGTAGCGCACCTAATCATGGCGACTGGATTTTGGGGCGCCAAGCAAGACGACCTTTGTCTCGCTGAAAGTGGACCGAAGTGTCTCCAGCGGCACACCGTGCGCCTCAAAGTGATCCTCCGCCCACTTTCTTGCCTCCTCAAGCCGCTTCAGCCGAAGCTTGTAAGCCGCGGCCTGACCATAGTGGTGCGCACCACACCTGTGCAGCTTGGCCTCTCTCAGGACGCGGAAAACGGCACGGCAAGTTTTGCACACCCAGGACCGAAGAAGTTGCAACGCCGCACCCTTACCTTCTGGCTTGGCGCGCTTAGTCTTTTCTCGCACAACCACACGTGGCCAGGTGAAGGCCTGAAAACCAGCGTTCTGCATATCCTGCATGCGAAAGGGCACTGCCATATATTTGTTGAGGTTGAAAACTCGTCGCTGCGCCCTAAATTTCGGGCCCATCCCTTCCTTCCTCAGAGCCTTCTGCCAAGCTCCATGCGAAACACGGGGGTGACCTTCGGCATGATGCTCAGCTCGCCACTTCGTGAGAAGCTTGCTCGGCTTATCAGCAACCTCATCCTGGGGCCAACCCATCTTGCAGTATGGGCAAACCCATGCGAGAAGCTGGCCGCTTCCAGCCAAAACCAAAGGGGGGCGCTGGTGCTTTCGGGCCACTTGCTTGCGAACTTCAGGATGAGCGCGCCGCATGTGGCTCAAACGCCCGCGACTGGCTTGTCCGCGGGTCTCATAGAGCTCAGCGAAAGGGCAGAGGTCACACTCATACTTGAAAGTGCCATGGAAGGCGTACTTGGACTTGCTCGGGACCTCAACCGCATCCGGATCCGCAACGCTCCCTGGCAAAGAAAGGGCCGGAGATCGCATAGCCGAGCTTGAGGACAGGGTGCGCACCTCGGCTGGTGAAGGATCGTACCAGTGGGATCTGCTTTTCCGCTCGGTGCCAGACTTTGTGCAGCCGCCGATGGCGCTAAGCTTCGCGCCATTGTGCGTCCGGCCCCCCAACACGCTCGTGTGTCCTCCCAGAGTGCTCGGGGCCGGGACTCCGCCGCGATCAGCGGCATTGCCTATTGGAGCGGCCGTAGCCTTGGCCCGGTCCGCGGGGCCAACTGCTCCGATCAGCGCCTGGTAGTGGCGGTTCATGAACCAGAGAGCAAGCGGCTTGCCCTTGGCTGAGGGATTGAACACCCTCACGCCGTCGGCCTCCTCCGGCCGAAACACGAAGATCGGCTGCGCCAGGGTCGCAGCAAGGGCAGCGACTTCTATCGAACCACCCCATGCACCATCGCGAGCGAGCAACCGGAGGTACTCTGCAAATCCTTTCACCTTCATGTCAGCGCCCTCGGCGCTCGGGGCGTCTCCCTTCCAGAAGCCTTCATAGGACCGAGCATGGGTGCGAAGGTGGGTCACTGCAAGGTTGCGAATCTCAGCAGGGGAGCGCTTTGAGCGACCTTGAGCTTCAAGCGCATCGGCAACAGCGGCAAAGAGACAGTTCCCGGCTCCCGGGTTGTCTTTGAGCTCCATTCCCAATGGGATACCATGCGAAGTGGTCTTGCATCGCTTGGATGGCGCCTCTGGAGTTTTTGGCTTAGTTTTCCCATCCAAGCCACGCTCGTCGTTGTTCCCGTCGTCCACCTCAATGTTCTGGTCTGCAGGTGGATCAGGTCCATGCGCAGGTGTAGCCGAAGTGGGAGTGGCTTTGCCTTTGCCTTTGGGTCCCTTGGGTCCCTTCTCCTTGGGCTGAGCAAAGATCTGTCGCCATTCAAGTGGGAGCGCCTTGCCCTCAGCGTAGGATCGCGTGCGACCAACTCTGGTGATCTCGATCTGCGCCTCAGCACCCTCCAGCTCAACGCTCCTGAAGTCCTCCTCCATGTTCATCACGGTGTAAAAGGTCCAGGCTGCGCCACCTTTCCAAGGAACCTTTTCGCTGACCTCAACCTCAACAAAGCCGCTGTCGGCCAGGAAGGCCTCAACCTCCTCGACGCACCAGTCCCTCGGAACTCCGGTTGCTCTCCATAGTCTCCTCACAGTTCTGGGCTTGTTGGTGTCCTCATCTGTGGCGGGTCGCCGAACACCTAAGCTACGGAAACCCCGAGCCAAACCCAACGACGACCCCTTCGTAGAGCTCCAGCACCTCGCCGCATAGGTCTGCCAGGTCTCATCATCCTGCCAGTCGACCCAATCGGTGACGAGCTGGGGCACACCCTCGATCACCTGCTGCTTGTTGAGGTGTTGCACGAACCATCGGTTGCCTCCATGCTTGGTCCCGCTGACGCCCAAGGCCGCAGCAGCTTGCGAGACTGTGAGGCGCACGAGTCCCTGAATGCAGGCATGTTTTCCACCAGGTCCAGGCGTCAACTCCAAATCCAGGTGTCATGAACACGTCCAAAGGCCGCCGTAGCCCATTGACGGAAGGACTTGCCAGGGTTGCTGGTTGCCTGCTCCCATGCACTCTCTTTGTCAAAGTACACCCAGTCAGCGTGAGCACGAAGGACAACTGTCTCAGCCTTTGCACGCTCGGGGGGTTTGACTACTTTTGCTAGCTGCCGGAGTTCAGGGGCGGAAACGCCTGTCTGGCCCACCCAAGCACTGACCACCCGAAGCTGGTTGCGGTGGATCCCCGGCACCCTCATCTCCTGCCATGTGAGCTCGCTGAAGTTGAGCCTCTCCTCCTCCATCGCACCCTTGAGCAGGACCACAGTGAAGGCCAAGTCGGGGTCCGAAGACTGCACAAAGGTGCGGAACTTTTCCAGTTCTTCTCCACTCTGCGGGTATGCCAGTAGTTCAGCAGGCGCGTTGGCCAGCGCATCCCTGGCATGCTTCACCAGTTTGACGCTCGGACCCCAATCCTCAGGTCTGGGGATCCAATCGCTTGGTTGGAGCGGGCCAGCAGTCGCCGCGTTCGGCTTTGCTCTCCCCTTATCTGACTTCTTGTTAGCATCAGCGAGGAACACCTTGCGGGCAGCAGCGGGGGGTTGAGGCTTTCGGCGCCCCCGGGATACCATCTTCCACTCGTCCTCGACCTTGTGCTCAGCATCCATTGCTGCGCTCCATCCTGAGGCAGGCGCCCGCCACGAAGTGTCTGACTGCACCCCAGCATGGCCATAGCTGTACTGCGTGACCGGCGGCATGTCCCATTCAGAGTGCCACGGTTGTTGTTCGCCTGCTTTGTTGGCATACTTGTGCACCAGGTTGCGAAGAGCACTCACCGGATTCCGAGGCCTTTCCCAGATCAGCTGCTGCAGATCCCAGAAAAGGTCCTCCACACCTCCATTCTCAACTTCTTCCTCTCCATCATCCTCCTCACCACCCAGCTGCGCAAGGAGGTTGGCCAAGCCATCGTACAACTTCTCTGCACGTTGACGTCTGGAAACCTTAGCGCCCAGGCCTCCACCACCACCACGAAGTTCATCCACGGCATTACGATGGTCTTCTTTGGGCATAGCAAACCCACGCCTTGCCCCATGAAGAAGCGCATCACGACAGTCATCGCCAGGATCCCGTTGACCATCCCGAGGAAATAGTGCCACCACTTGTGAAGAGAGAAGCTGGGGCACAAAAGCACGGAAACGGTGCCTGGAGCGCCACCGGACCCTTCGATTCCACCTCCGTCTGCAATCACCAACCCTGTGAGCAGACCATGCAAAAGCCGACATCCAGAGAGCCAAGCAGTAGGAATGCAAAGGCCGTCTGGCAGGATGCCGACGTGATCTTTGTTTGTCCGCCCTCGCTCCCACAGCGTCAGGCAGCTCATGCGCAGGCCGCGCATCATCCTCAAAAAGAGCCTTGCCGAAGTAACCCACAGAGAACAGGTAGTAGGCACCCACATGCAAAAGGCCCAAAGTGTAGAACACGAATTTAAGAAAGACCCCGAGGCAACCCGCAAAGAGGAACAGGTAGCAAATCACCTCCGAGTAGAAAACGTTCTTGCAGTAGGCGAGCATGAGCAAAAACAAGAAAAAGCCAATGCTCGCCCCAACACACCACGCAGACTCTTCGTACCAGCAGTGCTGGCCCGCATGCACCGAGGGCATGAAGCCCAGGAGGTGGTCTACGTGCATGCGGTGGTAGCCAGGCGCCTTCTTCAGCCCGTTCGATGGCCGGTTCACAATGATGCTCGTCAAGTTCTGGTCCAGGTAGCCCAGCACCGCAAAGCCAATGGAGGGGATGATGGCATAGGCAATGCCCCAGGCAGGAAATTGCCGATCAATGCCTGCAGGGTTCACGATCCAAGGCCTCTTGCTGCCGTCTGACAGGCTCAAGGCAGGGGCGAACTCGGCGTCCACGGTCAGCATCCGCAGCGACGTGTCGCTGGAGTAGAGGGCGGCAAGCGCGGACGCAGTGACCAGCGCGATTGTCACAGCGAAGTTGGCCATCAGGGTGCGGATGGGCCGGAGCAACCATGGTGTGCGCCGGAAATGGGACAGGTAGGTGGCAAGTCCGAATGTGTAGCCAAACAGCAAGGCCTCGAACATGGCGTTGGTCAAGGTCATCTCTTTGTCAGTGAAGTTTCGGATCATGGGCGACACGCCGTCAATGATGAAGATCAGGCTGATCAGGCCAGCAAAGATGTCCTCGCTGAACATGGTCACGTGCTTCATCAGGGCACACAAGTCAAAGACGGCCACAAGGATGGTGAACAACGAACACCACATGCAGACCCAGAAGTAGAAAGGCATGAACTCCAAATCCATCGCCTCTGCCATCTCAAAAACCACCAGCGTGTACGCCAAGAAAGGGCCAGTAGCACCTAGGATGGACAGAGGCTGCCCTGCGAAGCTAGAAAACAAAACGCCGCTGATGGCGGACGACATGATCATCTCCAAAACTCCAAACTGGCCCTTGGTGCCGTCCAAAAACCGGCTCCCGAAGGTGATGGCAGGGGCCAGCGCTGCGATGAACAGGTAAAGAATGGAGGACACGGACTTCTGGAAGTTCTCAGCCTTAAAGGCGTCCGTCCAGTCGCTGATGTACAGGGGCGCCCGCCTGCGCAAGTCAAGCCTCAGCCCGCCCCCAATCTTGCCCGTGAACTCCAAAGGACCGAAGTCCTTCTTGGCTGTGTGGGTGATGTAGCCGGACTCGTTGCGGATGACTGCTTCAGCCTCTGTCATAGCTCTGATCCAAATAAGTGTCACGGTTTTGTTTCTGCGTCTGGCGTCCTTGAGCCTCTGCGGTGATTAGGTGCACCGGATGAACAACTTCTCAAGTTGGGTGTCAAGGCCACGAGCACCGAAAGCGAGCGGACTCAACAAGCAAGATCGCAAGTCGGGGCCTGCGGTGGCAGCTCCTCGCTTGGCCGCTACCTGAACTGGTTCAAAAAAGGGATCCCGGTGCCGCCGGTGCTCTCAAAAGAATGCCAAAAAAGGATCCTCCTTGTGAACCTCAAATGAGAACGTGCATAACATGAAGGTCCACCCCCGATGTGAACATGAAAAGAGCCTCTGCAGATGGGGAACTCAGGCCGGGCGGCCAGACTGAAACACTGTTACCCTTACACCGACACACGAAACACAACTTTAATCCTCACAACAAAACCTGCTTTGCGACAGTCCAAGGGCGGCACATGTCGCCCCAGGCCGCTGCGTGTACGCAGCTTGTGCACACCCCGCCGAAGTGAGTTGACATGTTGTTTGCTTGACCTCGCAAAGCATCTGCAAGAGAAGTGGTGTAGCGTGCGCCGCGTTGCGCTCTTCAAGCAGAAATGAGATGCAAAACACCCGCCACTTTTTGTCGGTACCACTGAATCCGTCGCTGTCCCTCTCGACCCTTTTTCTCCCGGCTTGGACCCTCGGACCCTCGGACTTTCGGATTCTCGGACCCGGAAGGTGCTCGCGTTGTATATCCTGACTGGCCTGTCTGGCGTTTCGGTGGGCAAGGTTCCAAAGCTTCATGCTGGGATGCATCTCAAACAGAGCCCACTCCGCAGCGAGAAAACCCAAAGCTGCCGACTTTCGTTTGTCGTAAACCCCTCCGGCCGGCCAATGCAGTTTTTGAGAGGGACAAGAGCTTCGAGGCAACCAAGAGGTGACACTTTTAAACCACGCCAAGCAGAAAATGGAAAATGGGGGACTCTGTTGAAAGGCCAAAGGTCTGCCGCCCCCGCCCCCACCTGGCCCCGCCTCAAGAGTCCATGCGCTGCTCAACCGCGCCTCGCTCGGAGACCGATCCGTGCAGTCACGCTGCCGAAAAAAGATGCGGGGTGGGGTTGCTGGTGATTGGTGTGGAGTTTGGGGTTGAGTTGGAACCTCGGAAAAATGGTCTTTAAAGGATTGCTTCAGTGGGTTTCTGTGCTCTGCGCGCGCATCTGTTTGGCTCCATCATTTGCCGCAAGCTAGGTAAACGAAGGAGTTGCACGCTCGTACATTGCAGCAGGATCTCAAAATGGTGGCAAAGTGTATTCAAGCTAGTCCTGTCAAGATCGCAACTCTGCAAACCAGTTGGCCAGCAACGGAAAGCATGCTCTTCTCGATTGCTTTGCAATTTGCAAGGCCCTGCGCTTTCTGAGTCTTCTCTGGGTCACATAAAACTCGTCGGCTCAGAGCTTCTCGATTGAAACATCTTCCATTGCTCATCGACCCAGGGGCAAAGGCACAGTGGTCCAGATATGAAATTCTTCTATTCCAGAACCCTTCATCCAGGAGATGTCATGAAAACGAACCTGGCTGATGCAAAATGCAAACAGCAACTAAGTAGTGTGTATATATATATACATATATATATATGTATGTATGCATGCACGTACGTCTGTATGTATGTATGCATGCATGCATGCATGCATGCATGTATCTATATATGCATACATGTATGTATATGTATATGTATGTATGTATATATATATATATATGTGTGTGTGTGTGTCGGGGAGACTCGCCCAATTT